GCCAGCGCTCTTCCTGGTGCTTCTGTGGCCCACCAGCGCTGCCCATGCTTCCCATGGCCCATGGCTGGGGACGGCAGCTCCCGTCTGCACGCTTCCTTCTCCTTCCCAAGCGCAGAGCGGGAAGCTGGTGAGGTGCGGACTGCTTTTGGGGTAGGAAAACAGAAACAGGCTGTGGCGAGCAGGCCAGTAGTCCGGTTGCTGTTTCCAGAAGGGCCAGGGAGCCTTTTGCCACATCTCCCCTTACCGCAGTTCCCAGGGAGATTTACAAAACAAACAAAAAAACAATCCGGGCCGTAGGCAGGTGGGAGCTGTCTCTGTGCCGAGTCTTCCTAGGGATTTCACTCCCTTTCCCGTCTCTGCAGAGGCGGTGCGGGCAGCTCACGGTGCCGGAGGCCGTCCCCCTCGGGAGGCTCCTGTGCGTGTGGAGGGCAGAGGCCCGAGCGCCCCGCGCTGCTGCCCGCCTCAGCAGCCGCAGGGTCGGTGTCGGTGCCCGGGCTGCACCCTCCTTCCGTGCTGCACCGGGCCTGCAGTCCCGGTCGGAGCAAGTGCTCATTTGTCCCTCACCTCCTTCCCAGGTTCTGATGAGGCACTTTCCTCCTTGCCGGGCGCATCCCTTTGCTCCAGTGTCGCTTGCTTCTGCTGCATTTCCCAATCACCCAATAATCGTGCAAGAGCTGGGATGTTATTTACTTTTTATATATAAATTTATAAATATAAGAGACCCCCTGTTCTGCCCGTCCTTGCCCAGCAGCCCCTGCGCAGCTCCGAGCGACGCGTCGCAGCCGCCGCGCTGGGGCTGGGTGCGCGGTGCCTCCCGCCTGGCGCTCGCTCCGGCGCTGCCGGTGCCCGTCCTTGCCGGCCGTTGCGCTGCCCGGTGCCCCCGTCTCCCTCGTGCCAGCGTCACTGGCCGGGAATGACATTCCCGACTGGGACACTGCCACGTTGGCTTTGACGGCACTTGTGGAGGGCCGGAGGAGCGTCCCGCTCTCCCTGCCTGCTTCCCTGTGCCGACACCTTCGGCAAGTTAATTTCAATGCTGCCCTGGGTTCGCGCGGAGAAGTGGCTCATTTTCTTGGGTTCCTCCCCGGAGCGCAGGGCGTTTGGCTTCTTTTGGGGATGGGAGGAGGTGTTGGCATCTGCCTCCGCTCTCTTCTCTCCTGTCCTGCACTCTT